GTAATTGGCACACTGGGTGCTATTCCAAAAGCACTGGAATTACATTTAAAACAGTTAAAAAATGACAAAATCACCATCAATCAAATGCAAAAAGCTGCACTGCTTGGATCTGCATGCATATTACGAAAATACGTTATGACGTCCTAGGCCCCTGGGTGGGGCCCGACTAGTAACCAATGCCGAATCCGGTGAAACAACTGGCCGCTGTGATACAATTCTGTTGTTGCTTTATAATAACAATAATAATAATAATTTCAAAATTCTCTGTTAATTGTAATCCAATTGTAGAAAGTTTACCACAGCATCTTATCTGTCCAAAGTCATCTCAAAAGTTTTAAATAGTTTGTACTGAATCAAATACCCGTGTTTGTTTATAAATGCCATTTCTTATTAAATATAATAGATTTAGTCTAAGGGTAACTTTTCTAAATATAGATTGGGAAATGTCTCAACTCATAAAGTCATGTTCTCAGAATCATGAACTCTTCCTGGGCCATTTGTTAGTCAGATCAATATGTTTTCATATATTGTGATAGAAGACCAAGGAAGCAAAAATTGCACAGATTTCAGTCTGGAGTCTTTAATTCTAGGAAATGCTGAACATGAAGCTATTGTATGATATGAATTATTCTCTGTAGGAAAAGATACAGTACAGAAAAAGAATTATTGGACAGTTTTATTATTATAATCTTTGAGGAATGAGTCTTAGTTCTGCTTTTTATTTTTATTTCTCTTCTTTTTTTCTTGAGACTCTCCAAATAATAAAGAGAATCTGTCTTTATGGTCACTGACTTAATTCTCATCCTCATCAGTGGCACCAAATAGTGATGGAGGATTTGGAGACAAATGATCTGAAAATTACACCCTTCAGTTACCACCACCATCATTCACTGAACTTGGTGAGCAAAGAGAAGCGTTAGTTTCAACTGAAGTACATACTCTACCACCACCACCAAAGTTTCAGTCATATAAAAGGAGGAAATATAGACTAACATGTCACATAAACTGTTGGTTGCTCACAATAAAATATTAATAGTGGCTGCAAGCAATGTTTACCCATCTTTTATAGAAGAGGTATTTTTACACGGTAAAATATTTGAGCAGAGCCATCAAATGGATTTTCCCCAGAAAAAAAAAACTTTTTAAACTTTTATTCAAGTGTGATATTTTACTGGTAACTGGCCAGCTTCCAAAGAAGTAATACTGAATTAATCTTAAATCATGGGATTCTCATTTAGCAGACTCAAAATGTCTAGCAGGAAATTACCAAGATGCGAAAATCTGGAAAAGCAGAAGAAAATAACAATACCTTTTTTAAAAGAAAAAAAGAGGTTGTTACAGTGGTCATTTTGTTATTGCTTGTTTGTTTAAATCTGTTGACTACGTAACTCCAGTGGACTCTAAGTTATCTTAGTCATATTGGTTGACTTTATGTGAAAAACTAATTGCAAATTCTGAAAAATGCTTTTAAAGAAACTTTGAGATAATATGATAAAAGCCTTCTCAAAATGGCTTCTAATGTTTAGGGTGGGTGTGAGAGTTTGAGGATAATGGATTGTAATGTTCCAAACAGTTTCCTATGAAGAATATATTGGTCAAGTTAAGATTTTTGACATGATCCTATGGGACAGGTATATATAAATAAATTATATAGAAGTTCCCAGTTTCTTCTAAAGGGAATGAAAACCCTAACAGTGCTTCCTTAGAAGCTCCTACTTCTTGAGAAACTAAGAAACATGTAACAACCTCTTTCAAAGTTATTTCCGATTCTGTTCCCAGCCCACTTTTTTATCCTACCTGTGCTGATTTTTAGGTAGTACATTCCTCTAAGCTGAAGTGCCTAGTTTATTTTCTTTTTGTTCTTTATAAATCATCCATGAATATTGATAGTTCTTTACCTTGACATCCTTTCATATTTCTTTAACTTGTTTTAAAATCACCCAAGCATTACTTGAAGTTTGACTTTGTAATTAGACAAGAGAGAAAATCTGGATTTGGGATGTTTCTGAGAATTCAGTTATAGGATTCAAGGATACAGAACATTTGGGATGTATACCCACATTCAGAAAGAAGGTAATTATTTCTGATGTTTGGTAAGAAATCTTACAGTAATGTCAACAGAAGACAGTGGAACTGCTCTATATGATTTCAGCTCTGGTTTGAGAATAGGATCAGCTAAAGGGTCATTTAGACACAACATAGCTAATGGCAAGAGGAGAAGGAGAGGTACCCTTAAGTATTAGAGAGTCACTAAGTTGCCAAGGTCCATACTAGAAAAGCATTTTCAATTAGCATCAAGTGACCGTGACTTTTGAAACTCTTTTGCATCCATTGCAAAAACATTCAGGTTTAATGATTCAGCTGAGGTGATCTGCTGGCAAAATCTCTTTAACTGACAGCCTCCCTTTGTGTGCATTGTGCTGTATAACAAAACAGAGCTACTCCAATTGAAGAACTTTCCCTATACTTCATATTAGATTTGTGAAATATTTTCTGCTATTGTGAAAATAGGGGGCTCTGCCTGAATGACTGATGGTAGTACTAAGATTGGGGCAGTTGGGAGGAGATAGGGGAGATCACAAAGGAGAGTGGGCAAGGATGTTGATTTGGGTAATTTCTAAAGCCAAGAGACTTCTGGAAATGAGAACATCTTGGTTGCATTCTCCAATTCAGGAAGGAAAAAAATGCCCTATGCTCCACCCTTTTGCCATTGGTATTAAAGTTTGTGGCACAGATGCCAAGATTGGAGTCAAGCTGTTTGATTTGAAGCACAACTACTCAGGCAACACAGAAGAAGAAAAGAGGCAAAGAAGTAGCAACTATGGACTTTCCATCCATCTTGCTGGGACTCTGTCTACTGTATCTGTCTGCAGCACAAGGTGAATGAGTGGGATGGCTGGGTGTTCAATGTTTAATCTCTCTTTTTCCAAATTCTTCTGGCTTATCTTCTTGGTAGCTCCCATGATAGCTGAAAATCAGTTCTGCAAGCTGGATGGGCCTACCTTTGAGATCTTTACAAATGGTGTTATAAGGTGAGCAAAGAAATATCTTATTATTTTAATCTTGAACTTTAGGACCACTCTTTGCAGCTTTCAAGATCGTTAAATAAATATTCTCTTCATCTTGCAAGTTCTACGTTGTTGTGGGTGGGCTCTTATCTTTTTGGATTGCATGTTCTCCACTGTATCCTCGGAAATGAATGTACTTTCCATCAGGTCAATAACATGAAGACGTGAGGTTGAAATACATAGAAACATGGGCAAGCAATCTGTAACAGAATAAAAGCGTTTGAAGGGACCTTGGAAGTCTTTTAGTCTAATACTGTACTCAGGCAGGAAACCTATATCATTTCAGACAAATGGTTATCCAATCTCTTCTTAAAAACCTCAACTCCTGGAGGCAAGTCATTCCGCTGATTAATTGTTCTAACTTTCAGGAAATTTCTCCTGCCTTCAGGGGCTTTAGAGAATAGGTCAGCCCCTATATGTGTTTAAAACCTCCCATGACAGATAACTGCAAAATATTGTAAATAGGTAATAATACTTTCTGTATTATTTTTTATAAGTCCTAGTAAACAAGGGAAAGGCAAATACTGTACCTATGTTCAAAATTCCGAGGAGAGGAAGGTTCATGAAGCACCAAATATCAAACTAACATTAATACCAACTAACATTAATACCCGAACCAGTTCATAAAATATTTTCTTTCCAAGCACCTTTATTTATTTATTTATTTATTTATTTATTTTATTTTATTTTGTCAACAAGTACAAGGAAACAAGCATCAGTATAAACATAGACATATGAAAAATGGCACAAATAAATGGATATACATAAGCAAAATATAACCATAAACACATAAAATGAGTGCAGATAAATGGGGACAGTAGGCACGCCGGTGCGCTTATGCACGCCTCTTTAGGGACCTCTTAAGAAACAGGTAAGATCCACGGCAGACAGTTTGAGATAAAAGGTTTGTGGGTTAGAGGAGCTAACAACAGGATCAGGTAGAGTGTTCCAGACATTTACTATTCTATTGCTGAAGTCATTTCATTATTCCTGCAATCAAGATTAGAATGGATTACATTTAGTTTGCATCTATTGATAGCACTTGTGTTATTGCAGTTGAAGTAAAATTAGTCATCAAAAGATAGGACGTTATGGCAATTAATCTTGAACACAATCCAGTGATTATTGGATATCAGCAGGAACTTGTGAAAAAAAATAAGTCTTGCTAAACTAACATACCTCTTTTTTTTTTGTAATTGGATAACTTCCTTGGTAGATTTTGGGAATGCTGTAGATATAGATTGTTAGACGGAGGCCATCCAGAATGAATTCTGCAAGCAACATCTTTTTCCAAAGGTTTCATTAGAAATTCTATTTCTCATTGCAAATATAAATATCAAAAATGGTGACCACTCGCACGTCAAAGAAAATGGTTGTATTCTATTAATAGATTATATAATGTAAGAAGCCAGTAGTGGTTAAGGAGCCAGGCTAGAAACTGGGCAACCATGATCTCTAACATTAGGCATTGTCACAACTGGAGGGAAAGCATTCAAAGAAGAAATCTGAAGAAATTGCTTTCAAAAATAATAATCAGCATTAAGGGAAGAGCAACAAAAAGGAAAAAAAATTGCAAAGGTCTCAATGAAGGAAATGGCACTAAAGGACAAAGCAACAATCATGTAGAATTGATATTAAGTGGGAAATAGTATTGTGGGAATATCCTGGACATTGGAGGGTAGGGACAGAATAACATACACAAGATGGTCTTTAAGGATAAAACAAGTTTAATATATGTTTTGTGTAAATCCTACCAATAGCCTGAGATAGTGTGTGTTTTGAATACAATACAATACAATAGCAGAGTTGGAAGGGACCTTGGAGGTCTTCTAGCTCAACCCCCTGCCTAGGCAGGAAACCCTATACCAGCAGAAGTCAAGGCCAGCATTAGAAAGTCTTTATCTTTCTACAGCTTTCTACAGCTTTCATGATTTTGGAGTTGAAGAAGGATGTGGACATGGGGAGGAACAGATTGAGGATGCAAATTTTTGGCATGGTGCAAGGAAACAAGCAATTTGGGAGCAAAGTTAAAGGAGAATGCTTAACTCTCCCCTTAGCACTACTACACAGATCCATCTAACTGCAACCCAGCATCCCTGATTGCTTGGCTGACTAGTCAATTCTGGGAGTTGAAGTCTACCCATCTCAAAGTTCTAATTGTGTTAAAAAGTTCTATTTCTAAGATGGTAAAAAAAAAGTTCTGGACATAGGAATGTTTAAGTGAGAGTTAAAAGACATAAGGTTTCCCATCTTACTTGCATGGTCATCTAAGTTCTTGTCTAGTAGAAAAAGGATATCTTAAACACAATTTTTATTTTTTATTTAAATGTTTGAGAGCTAAATTAAAATGTTGTACTCTCACTTCAATTCTATATAGACTTATCTGATAATTGGTAACATTGAACTAACAACATCATCTAATCACTATGGGGTGACAATAATGTCCTAAATGCAAATATACATATAAAACAGGTATACATGAAGTGGGAATGTGTCTTGTTTTATTTATTTATTTACATTTATTTATATTTATTTATTTATAGAATTTATACAGCTGCCCACTCATTCTGAGTGATTCTGGGTGGTTTTGAGTCCTGGAATAAACTCTTAAATTATGGAGATACTACCAAAACTGATTCAAGGCAACTATGATTCAGAAGAAACAAAATCCAAAATACTTTAGCTGTTTAGGTTTCACAATAACCAAAATCTGGATGGAACAAGTGGAGAATAGAAAGTGTGCATTGCCCCATCTCTTCTCTACACAGATCCCAGCATAGGATATCCTACTAGCCCCAAAAGCATAATATAGTGTGCATAGTCACACAATAATTCAATATATCAAAATTACCAAAATTTGGTAAGACCGCAACATTTCTTGAGATATTCAGTGACCATGCATGGAATTTCATGGTACAGAGAATTGGGGATTTTGTAGAAAGTCCCTTAAGATCCCACATGACAATGTAAAAATCACAAGAGAAGGACAATGTAGTCCAAAAGCAAAAAAAAACCCCAAACTTTTCCATCCTTGATAGCTATTGGGGATCAAGATCAAATATAAACTTATATAGAAGTAAGACCTATTTGCATGTCAAACTATGTGTGACATGTGATCAACCCAATCATTCCAAAAGCACTGTCCAATGTTCTTTTGATATGATGTCTCTGGATTTGTCTAATAAACAATATGCTCAATGAAACTTACAGTAGACTTGCCTCAAGCCTGCCTTAATGAGTGTTCAACTTCTTAATTAAAGTGATATATTAGTTAGCCATATACTAACTTTTAAGTTTGTATGTATTTAACCTTGTGTATTTTACATTTTTAGCTCTTAAAATTACTAATTATTTGTATTTCACTTAATAGAGATTTGATTTACTCCCTTGTAGGCATTCCAGTTATCAAATTGTCAAAATATTCTAAATTATCTCAATTACCACATTTTTCTCCTTTGGGGAAGACATGATTTAGCTGAGTAAAAACAGTATAGTAAATACTTTAACTAGAATACCTGCAGGAAAGTTCTAGAGAACCTGACTACTGTATATCATTTTTCTTTGGGGAACGTTCTGGAAGCTAAAATAATAATAATAATAATAATGTTGGCAGATATTCTAACTGAGACACTTGCCAGATAGAAAGACTGGCAAGATGGAAAGAAAGTTCAGAAGAACAAGCTCACTGGAGTCCTGGATCTCAATAGATCAGTTCTAGTAGAATGAAGGAAACTCGTGAGTTGAGGTACTCCATCCCATCCTAAATGCAGTAGGGATGACATTTTAAATCCCACAATCTTTGCTGGCTGGGGAATTCTGGGAGTTAAAGTCCACAAATCTTAAAGTTGCCAAGGTTGGAGACCCCTGATTTAAAGTGTCAGATTTTATGCACATACAGTATATTAGCAAACAAATTAATTGTTGATTTCTGATACACTGCAGAATTAGGATCAAATGCTTATCAACCTGTTTGGTGTGGGAAACCATTTGTGGTTTTACTTGAGTTAACCAAGACTTTACAGTAAACAATGACATGTTTGTCTAATTACATTGACATGACATATTATCTGAACAGAACTTTTATATTCCATCCATCTGGTTCAGATGATGGATGTTTCATGAGGTATGTGACTCAAGCCTATGAGATCCATTTTGCTGAACATGGCAAGGGGTCACTAAGAAGCCTGTCGCTTTTTCTCTTCTCTGTACAGAATGTGGGCAATCTAGAAAATCACAAATCGTTGGAGGTCAAGATGCCTCCACAGGAAAATGGCCCTGGCAAGTCACCATTCTCCGGAATTTGCAACCTTATTGTGGAGCATCAATTATAAGTGACCAATGGATACTATCAGCAGCTCATTGCTTCTATAAGTAAGTATCAGATATTGTATGTGTTGCTAGGAATCTTCAAAAAAGCTTCTGCTAAGCTTTTAAACTAAAGTACCCACCAATCGGCTGCCATTTCAGCAGTGCCAGAAAACAGACAAGCTAATTAGTGGGTCAGGAAGCAGGCAGGTAAAAGTAACGTCATTTGTTCAGTGGGGAAGGAAGTATAGGTAGTCCTCAACTTACGACTACAATGGGGATCAGAATTTTTCTTGCTAAGCAAGGCAATTGTTAAGTAAATCACCACCACCTCCATTTTATGGCCCATTTTGACATGGTTGTGAAACAAATCACTGCAGTTAAAAGAATCATGTGATTGTTAAGTGAATTTGGCTTCCCTCCTTCACTTTATCAGAAGCCAGCTGGGAAGATCACGAATGGTGATCACATGATGCAGAATGCTGTAATTGTCAGAAATATTTGCTGGTTGCCAAGCACCCAAATTGTGAACAGACAGGTAATTGTGGTTGGAAGATCAATGGTTGTAAGCGTGAAAACCAGCCATAAGTTATTTTTTTAATAATTTTTTTAATTTTTTAATTTAAACAAGTACAGTATCCTTCTTTATATGCTATAGAAAGTGTATCAGTTGGTTACAAAAAAAACTTTCGTGCATCTCTTCCACAGTCAACAAACATA